ACGGTGCTAACACGATCGTAAATGTTACTTTCTGCACTTAGTTAACCGCCCAGTTATATACAATTGTTCATATTAAAGTAAAAACGAGATGCCAGTAGACCACAAACCTGTTTGTGGAACCCTTACAATAGTATCCGGTTGTCCGGTCTCACCACAAAATGATTAACATGAAAATTATATATATATGCATGCTAGATATAAAAAAAAACATTTACATGTATGATCTTAAGCCACCTTCTGATATCCATAGACCTCTCATCCTTCAGTGAAATAAACGGTTGCGTACTTTTAAGTAAAATGATTTATTTAAAAAGGTGGACTGAAACAATGTGTCGGTCTTTTTCTAACGCATTATACTTGAACAATAAATCAATAGATAAGTAATAAATCAATCAATCAATAAATACTCGCTCCCATGCTTTATTGTTCCTCAAGAGCAAACTAGAGATTTATTGGCCATAGTGGTCGTATAGCATCCAGGACCTAAAAATAACGCCAGCTGACGGAAGTCTTCGGCAGTTGAAGGTTGCTGAAGACTACGGTAAAATTTAAAAGAAAAGAAAGACGAAAGTAAATATTTCCCTGTATTATATTAGATGTGTTCGATAAGAACAGTTTGTATAACGATTTTGTTGACATATATTGCAGTTCGGAGTTATCTACGGTCGGCGGTATACTTGATTTTTGTTGTTGTTTATCGTGTGCTCGTTTAGGAATGTGTGGCATTCCTAACTTCTATTGACCAATATTTATGTGAGGCATTCCTAACTTCTATTGACCAATATTTATGTGTGGCATTCCTAACTTCTATTGACCAATATTTAGGTGTGGCATTCCTAACTTCTATTGACCAATATTTAGGTGTGGCATTCCTAACTTCTATTGACCAATATTTAGGTGTGGCATTCCTAACTTCTATTGACCAATATTTAGGTGTGGCATTCCTAGCTTCTATTGACCAATATTTAGGTGTGGCATTCCTAACTTCTATTGACCAATATTTATGTGTGGCATTCCTAACTTCTATTGACCAATATTTAGGTGTGGCATTCCTAACTTCTATTGACCAATATTTAGGTGTGGCATTCCTAACTTCTATTGACCAATATTTAGGTGTGGCATTCCTAACTTCTATTGACCAATATTTAGGTGTGGCATTCCTAACTTCTATTGACCAATATTTATGTGTGGCATTCCTAACTTCTATTGACCAATATTTATGTGTGGCATTCCTAACTTCTATTGACCAATATTTATGTGTGGCATTCCTAACTTCTATTGACCAATATTTAGGTGTGGCATTCCTAACTTCTATTGACCAATATTTATGTGAGGCATTCCTAACTTCTATTGACCAATATTTATGTGTGGCATTCCTAACTTCTATTGACCAATATTTATGTGAGGCATTCCTAACTTCTATTGACCAATATTTAGATGTGGCATTCCTAACTTCTATTGACCAATATTTATGTGTGGCATTCCTAACTTCTATTGACCAATATTTATGTGTGGCATTCCTAACTTCTATTGACCAATATTTAGGTGTGGCATTCCTAACTTCTATTGACCAATATTTAGGTGTGGCATTCCTAACTTCTATTGACCAATATTTAGGTGTGGCATTCCTAACTTCTATTGACCAATATTTAGGTGTGGCATTCCTAACTTCTATTGACCAATATTTAGGTGTGGCATTCCTAACTTCTATTGACCAATATTTAGGTGTGGCATTCCTAACTTCTATTGACCAATATTTAGGTGTGGCATTCCTAACTTCTATTGACCAATATTTAGGTGTGGCATTCCTAACTTCTATTGACCAATATTTATGTGAGGCATTCCTAACTTCTATTGACCAATATTTAGGTGTGGCATTCCTAACTTCTATTGACCAATATTTATGTGAGGCATTCCTAACTTCTATTGACCAATATTTAGGTGTGGCATTCCTAACTTCTATTGACCAATATTTATGTGAGGCATTCCTAACTTCTATTGACCAATATTTAGGTGTGGCATTCCTAACTTCTATTGACCAATATTTAGGTGAGGCATTCCTAACTTCTATTGACCAATATTTATGTGAGGCATTCCTAACTTCTATTGACCAATATTTATGTGAGGCATTCCTAACTTCTATTGACCAATATTTATGTGTGGCATTCCTAACTTCTATTGACCAATATTTAGGTGTGGCATTCCTAACTTCTATTGACCAATATTTAGGTGTGGCATTCCTAACTTCTATTGACCAATATTTATGTGAGGCATTCCTAACTTCTATTGACCAATATTTAGGTGTGGCATTCCTAACTTCTATTGACCAATATTTAGGTGAGGCATTCCTAACTTCTATTGACCAATATTTAGGTGAGGCATTCCTAACTTCTATTGACCAATATTTATGTGAGGCATTCCTAACTTCTATTGACCAATATTTATGTGTGGCATTCCTAACTTCTATTGACCAATATTTAGGTGTCCAACAGTACCCAGGGGTTACATTATTATCCAACAGTACCCAGGGGTTACATTAATGTCCAACAGTACCCAGGAGTTACATTATTGTCCAACAGTACCCAGGGGTTACATTAATGTCCAACAGTACCCAGGAGTTACATTATTGTCCAACAGTGCCCAGGAGTTACATTAATGTCCAACAGTACCCTTGAGTTACATTATTGTCCAACAGTACCCTTGAGTTACATTATTGTCCAACAGTACCCAGGGTTACATTAATGTCCAACAGTACCCAGGAGTTACATTAATGTCCAATGGTACCCGGGGGTTACATTATTGTCCAACAATACCCAGGGGTTACATTAATGTCCAACGGTACCCAGGGGTTACATTATTGTCCAACAATACCAAGGAGTTACATTATTGTCCAACAGTACCCAGTTGTTACATTATTGGCATCTGGTTATTTTTGCAGCAGCTAGGAATGAATGGTGTAATAAGACTGTGAAAGCCTACTTTAAACTTAGGAAAGATTTCCTTTCTTTAAATCTATGGGTATGATCATATCATAAGCTGCTTATTACTCTCTTGGCCTGATAATCCAATAAATAAGCCATGTATTCCTCTATGGGTCTGATAACCCAATAAGCTCTGTATTACTCAATGGGTGATCTGATAACCCAATAAGCCCTGTATCACTCTATGAGTGGTCTGATAACCCAATAAGCCCTGTATCACTCTATGAGTGGTCTGATAACCCAATAAGCCCTGTATTACTCAATGGGTGGTCTGATAACCCAATAAGCCCTGTATTACTCAATGGGTGGTCTGATAACCCAATAAGCCCTGTATTACTCTATGAGTGGTCTGATAACCCAATAAGCCCCGTATTCCTCTATGAGTGGTCTGATAACCCAATAAGCCCCGTATTACTCTATGAGTGGTCTGATAACCCAATAAGCCCCGTATTCCTCTATGGGTCTGATCCTCCGTTAAGGCCTGTATTAATTTATAGGTCTAATCGTAACATAAACTCTGTATTACTTTATGGATCTGATCACCCATAATCCCCCAATCTCTTTTGGTGATAATAGTAATCATGAAAAATTGTGTATGAAGGAGTTTATGTTGTAGGACTTTTCACAGTAAAAACGCAAAACTTGGCCATTTTACAATGTATTTCATCTTGATAAAAAATGTAAGATAACTTACACGTTTCATGTGGAAAGTTTTTTTGGGGAAAATGTCCATTGATACATGAAGCTGTCAGTTAATCACAAACCAGAGATGTGCCATGAAATATGTGGTTATATACGTCTCTGCCTATGAACTATTAAGTCACAACAAAACACATCACTTAAGATCCGCGCTTGGGACATTTTCAATTATTTATTAAAAAACGTCCGAAACTATTGTATAGATAAACATCACTGCCAGAAACGCTAAAATTGGAGAAGCTTTTTAGCTACTTCAAACTTAAATGTGACTTCAGCATGGAATCTTATGTCAATCCTAGCTCTAATTTTCAACGACTAATGCATATTTGATCAAATTCTTATGATTGAAGATGATTGAGTATCAGCCGGTCCCTTGGTCAATACCACTGTGTAAATATTGCGATAGTAATACTTTTAGTTACATGTAATAAATATCGTAACTGCAGACAACAGTGGTTTCGCACCTGTAACTTAAATTCTCAGTTATTTCAATTCTTACAACGGAGGACAAATTTATTTGATTGGTAATCAATGAAGACATTTTTTAATCTAACTTCATTGTAACATATTTGAAATAAACGTGGTAATGTATTATTTGTCTACGTACATGTTACGGTGTAAGTGATACGTTAAGTGTTGTGAAAATCCCGTGAAAGTGGTTGTAAGAAACATAACTTTCAATGAATCACTTTAATTGATTACATTACATATGCATGCATATATACATAATATTAATACAAGCTATGTGCATGTCCAAAATCTGTCACCCTTGTCTAAAATTGTCTGTATATCGTCTGTGTTTCTGTGAACGATGGAATTCAATAATGAAATATCTTGTCTTATCTTGCCTCTCGCGGAAATCAAGTTAATGATTAATGCCCACTGGGTCTTTTGCGTTCGTACATATGATATCTGACAATAAATATACGACAAGAAAATAAAATTGGACTATATATGTAGTTGGTAATATGCCTAGGCCCAATCACTGAAAGGATGTTTTGTGATGATGTGGTTTCATTTTTTATCCTGTTCGAGTGGATTCAGAAGCTGGAAATTAAGGACAATGAATAGTGTTATCTTTACACCAGCTGTAGCCAACTTCACAAATTACCTAGATTCGCACAGTTTATCAATATTTGCACAACTGCCTTTATAAGCGATTCTGGCACGTATCCATAATAATGATGGGTACACAAGGGTTAACGCCGCTTTTTATATTGCTTTTACCCCTGTGGGACCCCATTTTTTGCCATTCGGAACACATTTTCATCATTCGGACAGCCTCGCCAGTAAATTCCACACGAAGAAGACACGCTGTTCATCGACTCGAAATTTCATCTTACTGTTTTGATTGGTGTAGCTTACATGGTATGCACTAAATTTACTGGTAGTTTATCGATAGCTTTTCGCATTGCATGCAGATTAAGCGAACTGTGTTTGTGTGGACTTTGATTATATATTTTTTTTTACTTAATCGCTGTTGAAAGTGAGTGACATAAAGCGCCTTGTCAACATAGAATGCATATGGGGCCTTAATTAGGGGTACTTTATTACATGAACTATGATTCGGATTTCAAAAAATAAAGCAAAAGTTGGAAATACTATACAGTAAGTGTCATTTTAAGCATTGCAGGTGTTTCTGTTAAGGTTTTGACAACATGTCAAAGATAGTAGAAATGTTGGTGATCATTCACATAGTACCAGCCTCAGGCTGATGATGGTCAGCATCCTTCTTGTTTCCTTGTTTTTCCCAAAATGTTGATGAGGTCTGAAAACCAGCTAAATGTAGCATTACTGTTAACTATCAAGTTATTAGTTAGTCTATCCTTCATGTATGTTACCTTATCCACACATACAGTGAAGTATTGATATTGAAGTATGAAAGTCTGATCATGATACATGTATGTGTACTCCACTGCCACAAGATGATTTGTAGCTGGGAGTAGTGACCAATTTCAGTGATTCTGTAAATCTCATCAATAGCCATTGAGTTATATAACATTAGGTGTTTACAGTATAAATGGCATTAACTCCGCAATGGCCAAATGATGAAGATGGCAATATTAGAGTGCATGATGTATGTGACAGTAAACATAAAACTGTCATCACCCGACACTGACTAGTATACCTTCCCAGGCTGATATACACCTGTCTGCACAAGTGTCCTCCTGTTTAGACATAGTACCTGTCCTAGTCTGAAAAGTCTGATATCACCTGTCTGCACAAGTGTCCTCCTGTTTAGACATAGTATCTGTCCTAGTCTGAAAAGTCTGATATAACCTGTCTGCACAAGTGTCCTCCTGTTTAGACATAGTATCTGTCCTAGTCTGAAAAGTCTGATATCACCTGTCTGCACAAGTGTCCCCCTGTTCAGACATAGTATCTGTCCTAGTCTGAAAAGTCTAATATCACCTGCTTGCACAAGTGTCTTTCTGTTTAGACACAGTACCTGACCTAGTCTGAAAAGTCTGATATAACCTGTCTGCACAAAAAAAAAGCATCCTGTTTCAGACACTACCTTCCCTGATATTACATGTCTGTGCTCGTCCTGTTTCAGACACAGTTCTTAGCCCAGTCTGATATCTCCTGTCTTTACAAGTGTCCCCATGTTCTAGACACAGTGCGTCCCCTTCTGTGATATCACCTGTCTTTACAAGTGTCCCCATGTTCCAGACACGGTGCCTCCCGAGTCTGATATCAGCTGTCCGTACAAGTGTCCCACTCTTTCAGACTGGTTACCTCCCTTTCCCCAGTCTGACGTCACCTGTTTGTACAAAAAAGCATCCTGTTTCAGACACTACCTTCCCTGGTATTAAATGTCTGTTCTTCCTGTTTCAGACACAGTTCTTTGCCCAGTCTGATATCAACTCCCTGTAAAAATGTTCCCCTTGTTTTAGACACAATGCCTCCCCAGTCTGATATCTCCTGTCTTTACAAGTGTTCCTATGTTCCAGACATGGTGCTTTGCCCAGTGTGATATTTCCTGTCTATATAAGTGTCCCCTTGTTCCAGAGACAGTGCTTCGCCCAGTGTGATATTTCCTGTCTATATAAGTGTCCCCTTGTTCCAGAGACAGTGCTTCGCCCGGTGTGATATTTCCTGTCTATATAAGTGTCCCCTTGTTCCAGAGACAGTGCTTAGCCCAGTGTGATATTTCCTGTCTATATAAGTGTCCCCTTGTTCCAGAGACAGTGCTTCGCCCGGTGTGATATCATCTATCTGTGCAAGTGTCCCCTGTTTCAGACACAATACCTCCCACAGTCTGATATCACCTGTCAGTACAAGTGCCCCTTGTTTAAGCCTAAAATTCTTGAGTGTATATATTTTGCCTTTTGTTGTTTGTGTTTATTGTAGTTTAAAGGAAATCCTATGTGTTGCCAGTTGTCATGTTGACATTGTTACTATATTTAAGCTCAAATATGAATAATCTATAACTTTTGGTAATAGATGGGCTTATTGTGGAACAGTCAAAGAACATTTCTACTGAACCTTGGTTAGATATAGATGAAGTACTAACATGACATGGGCTTATAGTGGAACAGTCAAAGAACATTTCTACTGAAGCTTTGTTAGATATAGATGAAGTACTAACATGACAGGGGCTTATTGTGGAACAGTCAAAGAACATTTCTACTGAAGCTTTGTTAGATATAGATGAAGTACTAACATGACAGGGGCTTATTGTGGAACAGTCAAAGAACATTTCTACTGAAGCTTTGTTAGATATAGATGAAGTACTAACATGACAGGGGCTTATTGTGGAACAGTCAAAGAACATTTCTACTGAAGCTTTGTTAGATATAGATGAAGTACTAACATGACAGGGGCTTATTGTGGAACAGTCAAAGAACATTTCTACTGAAGCTTTGTTATATAGATGAAGTACAACATGACAGGGCTTATTGTGGAACAGTCAAAGAACATTTCTACTGAAGCTTTGTTAGATATAGATGAAGTACTAACATGACAGGGGCTTATTGTGGAACAGTCAAAGAACATTTCTACTGAAGCTTTGTTAGATATAGATGAAGTACTAACATGACAGGGGCTTATTGTGGAACAGTCAAAGAACATTTCTACTGAAGCTTTGTTAGATATAGATGAAGTACTAACATGACAGGGGCTTATTGTGGAACAGTCAAAGAACATTTCTACTGAAGCTTTGTTAGATATAGATGAAGTACTAACATGACAGGGGCTTATTGTGGAACAGTCAAAGAACATTTCTAATGAAGCTTTGTTAGATATAGATGAAGTACTAACATGACAGGGGCTTATTGTGGAACAGTCAAAGAACATTTCTACTGAAGCTTTGTTAGATATAGATGAAGTACTAACATGACATGGGCTTATTGTGGAACAGTCAAAGAACATTTCTACTGAAGCTTTGTTAGATATAGATGAAGTACTAACATGACAGGGGCTTATTGTGGAACAGTCAAAGAACATTTCTACTGAAGCTTTGTTAGATATAGATGAAGTACTAACATGACAGGGGCTTATTGTGGAACATTGTGGAACAGTCAAAGAACATTTCTAACATTAGATGAAGTACTAACATGAAGCTTTGTTAGATATAGATGAAGTACTAACATGACATGGGCTTATTGTGGAACAGTCAAAGAACATTTCTACTTTGAATATAGATGAAGTACTAACTTTGTTAGATTTCTATAAGCTTTGTTAGATATAGAAGTACTAACATGACAGGGGCTTATTGTGGAACAGTCAAAGAACATTTCTACTGAAGCTTTGTTAGATATAGATGAAGTACTAACATGACAGGGGCTTATTGTGGAACAGTCAAAGAACATTTCTACTGAAGCTTTGTTAGATTAGATGAAGTACTAACATGACAGGGGCTTATTGTGGAACAGTCTTTGTTTGTTAGATATAGATGAAGTACTAACATGACAGGGGCTTATTGTGGAACAGTCAAAGAACATTTCTACTGAAGCTTTGTTAGATATAGATGAAGTACTAACATGACAGGGGCTTATTGTGGAACAGTCAAAGAACATTTCTACTGAAGCTTTTTGTTAGATATAGATGAAGTACTAACATGACAGGGGCTTATTGTGGAACAGTCAAAGAACATTTCTACTGAAGCTTTGTTAGATATAGATGAAGTACTAACATGACATGGGCTTATTGTGGAACAGTCAAAGAACATTTCTACTGAAGCTTTGTTAGATATAGATGAAGTACTAACATGACAGGGGCTTATTGTGGAACAGTCAAAGAACATTTCTACTGAAGCTTTGTTAGATATAGATGAAGTACTAACATGACAGGGGCTTATTGTGGAACAGTCAAAGAACATTTCTATGAAGCTTTGTTAGATATAGGAAGCTTGACATGGGCTTATTGTGGAACAGTCAAAGAACATTTCTACTGAAGCTTTGTTAGATATAGATGAAGTACTAACATGACAGGGGCTTATTGTGGAACAGTCAAAGAACATTTCTACTGAAGCTTTGTTAGATATAGATGAAGTACTAACATGACAGGGGCTTATTGTGGAACAGTCAAGAACATTTCTACTGAAGCTTTGTTAGATATAGATGAAGTACTAACATGACAGGGGCTTATTGTGGAACAGTCAAAGAACATTTCTACTGAAGCTTTGTTAGATATAGATGAAGTACTAACATGACAGGGGCTTATTGTGGAACAGTCAAAGAACATTTCTACTGAAGCTTTGTTAGATATAGATGAAGTACTAACATGACAGGGGCTTATTGTGGAACAGTCAAAGAACATTTCTACTGAAGCTTTGTTAGATATAGATGAAGTACTAACATGACAGGGGCTTATTGTGGAACAGTCAAAGAACATTTCTACTGAAGCTTTGTTAGATATAGATGAAGTACTAACATGACAGGGGCTTATTGTGGAACAGTCAAAGAACATTTCTACTGAAGCTTTGTTAGATATAGATGAAGTACTAACATGACAGGGGCTTATTGTGGAACAGTCAAAGAACATTTCTACTGAAGCTTTGTTAGATATAGATGAAGTACTAACATGACAGGGGCTTATTGTGGAACAGTCAAAGAACATTTCTACTGAACCTTGGTTAGACATAGATGAAGTACTAACATGACATGGGCTTATTGCTAGATAAAGGTGGGAGTAATACAGATGACTAAAAAGGTTTGTCTGCTTGCTGGGTTTATTGCCCAAAGACCAGCCAGGGGCAATTTATGGTGGCAGCACCATTGAACCACTTACAGGAGGCCCATCATATGTCATCTAGAGCAATTCAGGTAAAAACATCATGTTCAAGGACATAATCACACTAGCATTGCATGCAAAATGGCTTATTTTTCAGGTCTTGAGAAAAATAAACCATGATAGTTAGGGAGCATTGAACAATGTGCCACAGATCTTTATCTGAGGTTATCTAGGCCAATTTTCTATTGACAGAGCTATCACAGTCAGGAAAACTATTAGAGACTACAATCCAGCCACACTACATTTGTTCTGTACATCATTGGTCAAGTTTGTAGTTTTCTCAATTTCATTTTTGCTATATGATATAGGTAACTGGTTTTCTAAAAAGTCCTTAAAAATAATCTATTATCAGATTACCTTAAATTTATGTTATAGAGTGAAGATTGAGTATATGATATGTTTTCTTCACATTATACAGACGTATTATGTAATAGATTTACAGATTGCCATAAAAGAGAGGGGAAAATAGAGAAATAGCAAGAAATCTTGATTTTAGGATTAAATAGCACACTTTTAAACTAAGTGAGATAAAACAAATCACTGGCCATGGATGTTTTGTATGTATAATAAATAGAGTAATTTACAAAGGATCTGTTACATAGTCTTAACAAATGATCAGGAGTTAGAGCTGGGGTATCTTTATTGTACATTTCTAGGTCAGCTAGTCAAATTGGTTTTTTTCGCATGGACTACTGCATTTGAATAATTATAGAAGTTTAGCTATTAACTCCTGTTAACATGATCAGCTCTGAGTAGGTGTCATAGCTTTCATGTTTCTTTGTTCTAGATAAATGACCTTTTGACCTTGAATGACAATGCTTAGTCAGTGTAGAACACACTCTCAGGATTTCACATAAATAGTACGTAGTAGATCTATAAATGCATGCTAGTATTTCTAGTTGAATGGTTTCCTATTTGAATTGATCAGATGGGTTGATCTACAATAAGATTAACTATTCCTGTGATTGATCTTGGTATCGTCTTTGTTCATATTTGGAGCATTGTCAAGTGACTTGATTTATGATCATGATTTGAAATATGAATTTCAACAATAGATTACAGTTGTTTAGGTATGTGCAGTATCTTGTATACCTTTTTGTATTATATTTAATACTTTGAAGTTCATTAGTCTGTTATTGTTTGTAAATCTTTTGATTTTGATGTGATGAGCTGTTTACTTTTGTGATTCATCATCGCGATGTATAGTGTTATAAAATAAGAATTTATGTTGCTGTTTGGATAGGGATTACCTTCCCATTTTAACCTACTTGCTTATTATTAACTCTTCGATCTGAAAAAAATGAAATTATTAACACATCAACCTATAACCTGAGTTTTTGGAAAATATTGAGCCGGTTAAGAAATGTGGTGAATGACTGCATGGAAAAATACATAAATTTGATGTTGTTTTTTTCCTAGGTAGGAGCATGGTTTAATGTCCAGAGCCTGACTTCTAATTCCAAAGTCTGTGATATCCACTGCTGCCTTTCCCAGGCTGATCGCCTTAGGCCTGTAAGTATGTCCTAACCAGCATAGTCAGATCTATGACTGTGAGTACCATATCTCCCCCAGACCATTGTAATCAGATTTAGAGCTGTGAGTACCATATCTCCCCCAGACCATTGTAATCAGATTTAGAGCTGTGAGTACCATATCTCCCCCAGACCATTGTAATCAGATTTAGAGCTGTGAGTACCATATCCACCCCCCAGACTTGTGTAGTCAAATCTAGATCTTTAAATACCATTTCTCCTTCAGACCAATGTAGTCAGATCTTGACCTTGAGTACCATTTCTCATCCAGACCAATGTAGTCAGATCTTGACTTTGAGTACCATTTCTCATCCAGACCAATGTAGTCAGATCTTGACCTTGAGTACCATTTCTCCTTCAGACCAATGTAGTCAGATCTAGACCTAAACATACCATTTCTCCCCCAGACCAATGCAGTCAGATCTTGACTTTGAGTACCATTTCTCCCCCAGACCAATGTAGTCAGATCTTGACCTTGAGTACCATTTCTCCTTCAGACCAATGTAGTCAGATCTAGACCTAAACATACCATTTCTCCTCCAGACCAATGCAGTCAGATCTAGACCTATACATACCATATCTTCTTCAGACCAATGTAGTCAGATCTTGACCTTGAGTACCATTTCTCATCCAGACCAATGTAGTCAGATCTAGACCTTGAGTACCATTTCTCATCCAGACCAATGCAGTCAGATCTAGACCTATACATACCATTTCTACTTCAGACCAATGCAGTCAGATCTAGACCTTGAGTATCATTTCTCATCCAGACCAATGTAGTCAGATCTAGACCTATAAATACCATATCTTCTTCGGACCAATGTAGTCAGATCTAGACCTTGAGTACCATTTCTCATCCAGACCAATGTAGTCAGATCTTGACTTTGATTACCATTTCTCCTTCACACCAATGTAGTCAGATCTTGACCTTGAGTACCATTTCTCATCCAGACCAATGTAGTCAGATCTTGACTTTGAGTACCATTTCTCCCCCAGACCAATGCAGTCAGATCTTGACTTTGAGTACCATTTCTCCCCCAGACCAATGTAGTCAGATCTTGACCTTGAGTACCATTTCTCATCCAGACCAATGTAGTCAGATCTTGACTTTGAGTACCATTTCTCCCCCAGACCAATGCAGTCAGATCTTGACTTTAAGTACCATTTCTCCCCCAGACCAATGTAGTCAGATCTTGACCTTGAGTACCATTTCTCCTTCAGACCAATGTAGTCAGATCTAGACCTAAACATACCATTTCTCCTCCAGACCAATGCAGTCAGATCTAGACTTATACATACCATATCTTCTTCAGACCAATGTAGTCAGATCTTGACCTTAAGTACCATTTCTCCCCTAGACCTGTGTAGTCAGATTTAAATGTTAGTGCCATGTCCTAACTCCTCCCCCCTTCCCCCAGATAAGTATAGTAAGGGTTAGACAAATTGAGCTACTATGTACATGTATGAGCTTTCAACCCAAAATTATTCTCATTTCCTCATTTTGATAGTGAAATAACAGTAACCTTCAACTCTACTCAAAAGTTATTCAGAGGGAATGAATTATAAATTATTTATTTGAAAATGAAGTTATGATATTTTTTCTAAAAGAGGTGTAATGAAGTATGTTACATGTTAATACATAATAGATGTTCAACATCATGTAGACCTGTACATTGTATGTCATATACCAGGTATGCACAGTGTCATAATACATGTACTTGAACATGAAGCATTCACTGTTAATTATCACTAAGGAATGGCAGTATAGTAGTTAAAGCCTCATTGTGTCTTAACTAAGTGGTATGTACCTATGGTACACTGCAGGTGAAACTGCTGTAAACAGACACCTTTACCCTATAGATTTGGCTGTAAGCCAGCTACATCTTATACCAAAGTCGAGCATTCACATTCCTTAAATCTCATAATCCTTCACACAAATCAGGACTAGGTCATGTGTCCCCCAACTACCAAGGAGAACTGGACCGAAGATATGCATCATGAAAATCTTTATAATTGTAGTCATAGTCTACCTAGCTTCACAAATAGATACAAAAACATACTCATGTGTATAACTTAAATGGATTACTGGACATGAAAAAAAATTGTTATGATAATGCAGTTGAAGCAGACAAATAAATTAAGTATCACAATATCAGGCCTTGTGAACACAACATCAGGCCTTGTGAGAGTTCTATTTATAAGCTGTTTAAGAACTTTGAAGGTTTTTTTCTAGCAGGAGTTACTTCCCTTGTCAATTTATTCCACTTTCATTCTAATACTGTCCACATAAATTAAACAGGTATAATGTATGATATTTAAATGGAGGAGTCAGATTGTGGAGAAACTGTGTGTGCTTATCTATATTTGATCTTCACCTTTCTGGAAACTCTGAAAGGGGATATTTGTGCTTACTCATACTTTTCCTTGGCCTTGTGAAGAATCTGAGAGAGTGATATATTTGTACATATTTATACTGTACATGGACTCAGTGAAGAATCTGAGAGAGGGAATATTTGTACATATTTATACTTTACATGGACGCGGTGAAGAATCTGAGAGAGTGATATATTTGTACATATTTATACTTTACATGGACGCAGTGAAGAATCTGAGAGAGTGATATATTTGTACATATTTATACTGTACATGGACGCGGTGAAGAATCTGAGAGAGTGATATATTTGTACATATTTATACTGTACATGGACGCGGTGAAGAATCTGAGAGAGTGATGTGTTTGTGCTTATTTATACTGTACCTAAGTTTTGTGAAGAATCTGAGAGAGGAATATATTTGTGCTTAGCTTTACTTTCGCTAGGCCTTTGTGAAACATCTGAGAGAGTGGATATTTGTGTTTGTTCATTGAATTTGTTCCCAGTCTGACCGGTCCCGCCCTGAAGTTACTCAGGTGTTGTGATATTGACATAAAAACAATCTGTTTACTTCCCACTAGTTTGACACTTGACTTGATCGAGACACCACCCAGTGCCATGTACATGTATGTAGATATAGTTATGACTTTTAACATGGTATGGAGCACTTTACCCACTGATGCCAGGTACATGGCATTTGTTAAAATGTATTTTATGTTTTTCAAATGCAATTTTCGTCAGTCTTGATAATACTGAAAACATTACATTCTTACATATTTTCTTTCACCTACTTGAAAAAAGATTAGAACAGATAAATAAAAATCTCTGATTATTTCCAGCAGTAATTATCCCAACCATTATGTAATTAAACAGTTACACCTGAGGACATGAAGGATAATCTAAAGTGCTTAATGTTGTCTCATTTATATTCGATTTTCATGCATTTGGACTGATACCTTAAATGGAAAATTTGATATCTGCTTTTTAAATAGAACAAAAATAAATAGTGTATGAATAGATGTATGGTAAAGGTGTTGATTTGATTGTTGTTTATCAGTATCCCCATAACAACTGGAAAAAAATTCTTACTACAAGATGGATTTAACTTGGTGTCATGCTCATGTCAAGATTTTTTTTTAATGTCTTCATTTTTAAAAACTTCAGTGTTGTATAATACATATATCTAACTTCTGATCTCACATCAATTACAATCAGGTACTTAACATTCAGGAGATGACAAACACAATCCGGATAGTGTGGGAAAAGCTTACTCTAGTATAACTTAACACCTGATCTGGTTTATGTCTACTGGAGGTTGTACCAGATCCTATATAAGTGTATGTCTACTGAAGGTTGTACCAGATCCTATATAAGTGTATGTCTACTGGAGGTTGTACCAGATCCTATATAAGTGTATGTCTACTTTAGGTTGTACCTGATCCTATATAAGTGTATGTCTACTGGAGGTTGTACCTGATCTTATATAAGTGTATGTCTACTGGAGGTTGTACCAGATCCTATATAAGTGTATGTCTACTGAAGGTTGCACCAGATCCTATATAAGTGTATGTCTGCTGGAGGTTGTACCTGATCCTATATAAGTGTATGTCTACTGGAGGTTGTACCAGATCCTATATAAGTGTATGTCTACTGGGGGTTGTACCAGATCCTATATAAGTGTATGTCTACTGGAGGTTGTACCTGATGCTATATAAGTGTATGTCTACAGGAGGTTGTACCTGATACTATATGAGTGTATGTCTACTGGAGGTTGTACCTGATCCTATATAAGTGTATGTCTACTGGAGGTTGTACCTGATCCTATATAAGTGTATGTCTACTGGAGGTTGTACCTGATGCTATATAAGTGTATGTCTACAGGAGGTTGTACCTGATACTATATGAGTGTATGTCTACTGGAGGTTGTACCTGATCCTATATAAGTGTATGTCTGAAGGTTGTACCTGATCCTATATAAGTGTATGTCTACTGGAGGTTGTACCTGATCCTATATAAGTGTATGACTGGAGGTTGTACCTGATCCTATATAAGTGTATGTCTACTGGAGGTTGTACCAGATCCTATATAAGTGTATGTCTATTGGAGGTTGTACCTGATGCTATATAAGTGTATGTCTACTGGAGGTTGTACCAGATCCTATATAAGTGTATGTCTACTGGAGGTTGTACCTGATCCTATATAAGTGTATGTATGAAGGTTGCACCTGATCCTATATAAATGTATGTCCACTGGAGGTTGCACCTGATGCTATATAAGTGTATGTCTACTGGAGGTTGCACCAGATCCTATATAAGTGTATGTCTACTGGAGGTTGTACCTGATACTATATGAGTGTATGTCTACTGGAGGTTGCACCTGATCCTATATAAGTGTATGCCTGGAGGTTGTACTAGATCCTATATAAGTGTATGTCTACTGGAGGTTGTACCTGATCCTATATAAGTGTATGTCTATTGGAGGTTGCACCTGATCCTATATAAGTGTATGTCTGAAGGTTGTACCTGATCCTATATAAATGTATGTCCACTGGAGGTTGTACCTGATCCTATATAAGTGTATGTCTACTGGAGGTTGCACCTGATCCTAT